ACAATCTCACACGACATGATAACTGTGAACACAAGGACAGCCATCACCACTGCTTAGTATATGATAGATGATGGAACGACACCAAGTTAAAGGCGAGAAAAGTTTGTTTAAAGTCACGACCATAAAACACAGACAACATTACGTTCACTGGCAAAATATAACCAAAAGTCACAAGGAACATGATCTCTCCAGGTGAGGACAAGACAAACTGGGGAAACACATGAGAAATGACCCTACGACACACGTATACCTTAAGCCACGAGAAATTACAGAAAATAACACGATAATCATTTCGACGCTTTGACAACACACAACAAATGTAATTAATAAAAGTCACATTAAATAGTACCACACATGGGATTTTATTAACCAGGTGTAAAAAAAATAAAAATGGACACTCGTGCAGGATATAAAGCCTTTCCCTTCACTCTAACAGTAAACACCACGACCATCACCTACAAAACACAAGCAATACTCAACCTTACAGCTTCAGTCTCCAACATTCCGTGTTAGTATTGTCACACACGGGGAAGTGGGAGTAGTAGTCACGCGTTACTCTGCTAGTAGTTACCTGGGGAAGGAGGGATACCAACGTTACAGTAAGCACACACACAGGAGAGTACAACAACAATCTAACATGGATTCACTTTTTTTAACAAGCAGGAGGAACTAATGGTTGGGTGAGTCAGGTTCAACTGGCTGGGTGGCGTCGGCTATAGTGGGTGGAGAGATTAAATGATTTAGTAAAGCGAGTGTGGTTTATACTGTGGGGGTGGGAGGGAGGAAGGAAGGGAGTCAGGGGATGAGATAACTTACGGTTGGTGTTCCCGCTTTCTTCCTTCGTTTCATCCCCTGGCAATAAAAATCACATGAAAACACTGTGTTACTTAAATAAATTGAAGACTTTTTCCTGCAAACAACAATTTCCTACTTAAAACCTGCAGGAGCAAAATTATATATACTTTTCATTCTAGTCTACTTTAGTTATAAAACTTGACTTGGTGTACACAGGCCCCAAGCAGATAATGATTAATGAAACATGAAGATTTATAACCTTCCTGGAAATAAAATAAGTTACAGAAAAAAAATGAGCATTACAGAAAACGGACACATAACTTGGTGAGAGAAAACCATCCGTATTGCAGCACAGACTCTTCTAAAGTTACCTGAACACGAAAATAATATAATCAAAGTTAAATGAATCCCACGAACAGAACTATTACAAATATTTTAATTTGTTTAAAAAGTTAACGATAAGAAATTAACCTTATAATAATGGAGAAGATTCAATTAAGTTTATTTAGGTTTGATTGATTTATATCGGTTTAAGGCAACATTATTACATTATTTAGCGATCCTGTTCGTGATAATTATTTAACATTTGTCAGTTTGTAAATCCAGTGCAGCGATTAATGATTTCCTATAATTTGTATTGCTGGCTTAAAACATATACAGTTAATAAGACCATAAAGCTTTTCTCTCTCTAGGACAGTAACTACACGTGTACCTCCCTCTAGGACAGTAACTACACGTGTACCTCCCTCGAGGACAGTAACGACACGTGTACCTCCCTCTAGGCCAGTAACTACACATGTACCTCCCTCTAGGACAGTAACTACACGTGTACCTCCCTCTAGGACAGTAACTACACGTGTGCCTCCCTCTAGGACAGTAACTACACATGTACCTCCCTCTAGCCTGTACCTCCCTCTAGGACAGTAACTACACATGTACCTCCCTCTAGGACAGTAACTACACATGTACCTCCCTCTAGGACAGTAACTACACATGTACCTCCCTCTAGGACAGTAACTACACGTGTACCTCCCTCTAGGACAGTAACTACACATGTACCTCCCTCTAGGACAGTAACTACACATGTACCTCCCTCTAGGCCAGTAACTACACATGTACCTCCCTCTAGGCCAGTAACTACACATGTACCTCCCTCTAGGCCAGTAACTACACGTGTACCTCCCTCTAGGACAGTAACTACACATGTACCTCCCTCTAGCACCACATTTCAAGAGTCGTCAAGCTCTCTGGTGTGTGCTGGAAGTGCTGACAATAAAACAATACTGAAGATATACAGTAAATATTTCAGCAGCCACTTCCTCAGGCTGAAATTAGTGATTTTCCTCAGTATAAATCATAGACCTGTAAATGCTGTTTGTGTTTTAAGTATTCTTGTTTCAAATTTTCTTTCACTTCTACTCTCCACGTGTTGAAGTTCCTGTTGTCCATTGTAATTATAATTTTACCATTTATTTCAAACTCGGAAACAACTTTACATCAATTCTTCATTAATCTGTAAACCAACTTTCACGCTGCCACTTAACCGAATGTAGGAAAAAATGGCACCGGAAAAAAGGCATAATCATCAGACTATGAAAAATTTACATTAACTTTTATTGACATATTTTCGCTAAAATTTTATAACGTTTGTTACTGAAACTCACTTAGTTATACCAACGTCATAACATATAACATGACCTCACGTGAGGTGACCTAACACAATGTGCCCACAGAGGACGACCTCACTTTACCGAGTGAACATGACAACGATAACCTCACAAAATATGACGGTTGAGGATGACCTGAACACGAGATCTGAGGTTGACGAGTTCCACAGCAATTTAAATAACGAGTTACTTAATGCACGAAGGCAGAACATACCATACAGAAAACTCAGATCAAACCACAATGACCTCAAATGAATAATTAACTATTTAACGAATATTATTGGACCGAAATAAGAAAAGCAAAGAGGAATAATGATCTGAAGGTAAGTCAAACCCTTGGATTCTTTCAAATGTATCAAACTAAAACACGAGATATGATCGAGTTGTATAAATGGAAATCAGGGCTAAACAAATGTGATATAGAAAGTTACCAAACGTCATCATTAACTCGAATACGCTGGATAGCTTCAAACGGGGCCCGGAGAAAAGCCCTGTTTTTATGTTAAGAAGGTCATAAGAAATATTAAAAATATATAAATTTAAATATGAAATTTTTACAATTTAAATAATTAGAATATTATAAGTCAATTGTTATATAGAACATTATTAAATAAATAGAAAATAAAAAAGACGACTTATTTTACCTTCATGTTCATTCCGTATTTACTGAGGTGACCCTGGGGCCCAGTGAGGTCACTGAATGTCAGGGGAGTAATTACCCCAGTAGACACAACATACGTCATTGCAGATTTAATAAACATTCCTTGTATACTTATTTATAACTATAACAGAATTCCCGAAGGTTAGGTTAGGTTAGAGAAGTGTTCATAAACTGTAAAAGAAATTAAATAATTATTTTAAAAAGTCTTATTATTTCTCCTAGGGACTTTTGTCCTACACTCGCTTCAAACACAAGCTCGTTAGCGGTTAGTGAGCTCCAAGTGAAATTTGTTGTGCTATTTTTTCCAAGTATGAAAATTTTGCCATTTTTTCAGAGTACCACTTCACCACCCACAATAAGAGCAATATAATTTACATAACTGATACGGATATTTTTTTACCATGAACTGTTATTCTTTCAATGATATTTAAAACGTCTCATTAAAACTTGTTGAGATATTATACAAAGTTGGAGTTAAGAGCGAGCCTTGTCTCCCCCTGAACCATATAGTAAAGTCATTTTCTTCTAATACTGAATCTTCCTGTTGCCAGTAGAGATCTTTGTAGACCTCTAATAACTTCATCGTTAAATCACATTTGTATTGGTGTTTACACTCTCAAACTTATCAAAATACAGAAAACAGATACAAATTTCGGATCACCTGAAGAATTGTCACCCCAGAGTTTGGCAGGGTGACAATTCTTCAGGTGGGGGTCAGGTTAGGTTAGGTTAGGTGTATATTATTCTTATTTTTTCTTTAAACTTTTCACAATAAAGATGCATAACACAAAGGAATACACTTATGTTATCCTAATTGTACAAATTATATTCACTGTGGGCTGGGGTGACGATTCTTCAGGTGATCCCAAATTTCTTTAGAGCTCTTCCACTTAAATTTCTCCAGCCACAAAACGGCTTCTCTTGTTCCCCTTCCGTCTCTAATACCATTTTGATCTCCAGATATCTCTTTTATTCTACTCATTTAATATATTAAAATAATGTTTAATTAAACTTTCCTGGCATAGTTCATTAAGGTAATTAAATTTTTATTCTAAACTGGATGCACTTTAAGGCTCCTGGCTTTTAGGTAATAGCGTGAATACTAATTATTTTAATTCACTGGGAAGGTCTCGTTTGTAGTAAAAATTTACACATTTTAGTCAAGAATTTTAACCCATTCTAAAAACACTTGTTTTATAAATTCTGGTGATCAACTCCCTAAGCCGTATTAAATAACCCCACAGCTTCTACCACTTCATGCAGTACGGTACTGTACGAAATAACGATTATGTTTGGGTACTTTTATCGTACCATATCGAGACCAAGATATGTTGGCTGGCCACGTGGCCAGGACAATAGCTTAGGGCGATGCAGGTGTGCTTCAACATTCAGGTCAGGTCAGGTCAAGCCGTGAGGTCAGGTCAGGTCCGGCCACACACAGTGAACCAGTGTGACCCACAAAATTACATTGCCCCAAGGGAGAATGCCCCTGCCAGCTTATACACACACACACACACTCATTCCCGAGTCTAACGTCGTACTGTGCACAGTCAGTCAGGCTGACTCCTGCAGTGTTCAAGACTTCTGTTTTTAGAGGTAAGGCAACGAAAGTTTTTCTTTATTTATATATATTATTATCAGTGTAATAATATCATAAGCAGCAATAACAATAATAATACTGAAAATTATCATGATTATTATTATCATTATTATCATCATCATCATTATTATTATTATTATTGTTATTAGTAGTACTGTATATACATCAATAGTCGAGATGGTGTATGTGTGTGAAAGTAATTGGGTGGGACCGCGGGCGCAGTGAGAGGGAGAGAGACAGGAGAGTGAGTTAGATTACTTTTTTCTTTGCATAGATCATGGAGCGTCGACGGGAGTTCGTTGGCGTTAAGTTTTTCCTCTTCACGGAGAAAGCTGCCGAGTGCAAGATCCCGGATTGTGACTACTCATACGAACCAATGTCTGGCTCCGAGCTCCACTCCAAGCCTCTAGTTGATCACCTCAGGAGGAAACACCCTAAGGAGTACAAGGAAGCTGAAGAGGAGGCTGACGAGCAGAAATCCTTGAAAAGGAAATATGAAAACATCTCGAATTACTCCCCAAGTGATGATGAATCCAGTTCCAAGAGACCAAAGCGTGAAGTGATTGAAATTGAAATGAGTAAAGAAATGGTTCACAAATTTGCAGTAGAAGCAGTGACTGTAAATGGATTACCCTTGTCAGTATTTGAAAAGTCGGGAATTTCAAACTTAATATCTCCTATTTTGTGTAAACTAGGAATATCCCTGAACCAAAGGGTAACTCGATCGTTGATCCTCCAAGCTGCCGAGAAGAAAATAGTAGATCTAAAGACTGAGTTCCTTGACCGCTTGATTTGTGTGAAATATAATCTCAGCACTCGACGTGGACGTCACTTTCTCGGTGTTGATTTTCAAGCCGTCATCAACGGCAAATTGAGAGTGGCTACAGCTGCAGTAAAGGAGATGACGGAGGGAGCTACTGGTGCAGAGATTCGGTCAATCCTGGTTGCTTGTTTGCAGAAATTAGGAATCCAGGAGCACCAGATCTACACACTGACCACTGACAACGGCTCCAATGTTACCAAGGCGGGAAGGCTCATGCTAGAGGATGCTCAGGCCGTGGAGAACGAAGTAGACGAAAGTGATGAAGATGACCCTCAGGCCGTGGAGAACGAAGTAGGCGAAAGTGATGAAGATGACCCTCAGGCCGTGGAGAACGAAGTAGGCGAAAGTGATGAAGATGACCCTCAGGCCGTGGAGAACGAAGTAGGCGAAAGTGATGAAGATGATCCTATTCCCGAGGCCGAGGGTGACAGTGTTCCTGCTGTGTTGGATGAAGAAGTCAATAGTATCAAAACAGCAGCTGATAATGTGTCATCCGTACGGTGTGCTGTTCACACTCTACAGCTTAGTGTAAAAGACGTCATTAACGCTAATGATGAAATCAAGAAATTGCTCGTTAAAGTACGAAAAGTTGTGAACAAGACGCGCACACACAACATACGCCTGGTGTTTCGACAGGCTGGAGCAGCACTACCGAAAGTGGACTGTAAGAATCGCTGGGAAACTACATATGATATGCTGGAGTGTGTGGTGAAGAGCAAGCCATTTCTGTTGCAAATTGGGCTTGCAAAAGAATTGTTCCGGTTATCAGAGAAGGACTGGGCTTATATTGATAACCTGCTGTGCAGTTTAAAGCCACTACACAGCACTACAATTGCACTTCAACTGAGCAAGCTAACGGCCGGAGAGTTCCTTTGTGAGTGGCTGAAGTGCAAGATCAAGTTGCGCCAGCTGGCCATAGTTGATAGTGAGAGATCCACCTCAGTGTCGGCGGCTTTCCTTCAAGCAATGGAAGAGAGAGAGGTTAACATCCTGAGCAACCCGGCCTTCCTCTCTGCTATCTACATGGACCCACGGTACCAATGTCTTCTGAAGGAACCACAGAAAGTAGTGGCAAAGGCACATCTCACCGCTCTGTGGAGAAGGCTGTCAATCATGAATATGAATAGTGATATTAGTTGTGAATCGGAAAAGAATGAAGAAGACCCTCCAAGTGATGACAGCCTCATTGAGCAGCTACTGTGTGAGAGTGATAGTACCACCCGGGCGAGTACTGCTACTAACGTGCATGAAGCCTCAGTGATGATTAAAAGTTTTGACAGTACTCCAAGAGTAGAAAGAAAAGAGGACATCTTTCATTGGTGGCATTGTCACCCACACACAGAGCTGAAGAGGCTGGCTGAAGCGGTCATCGGGTTGCCAGTGAGTGCAGTGACACAAGCTAGTGCAGATCGAACCTTTTCCGGCTTGCGATATATATTGCAAGAGCGTCGGCTGGGACACAAGGCAGACATTATTGATGCTTTAATGATGTTGCGTTGCAACGCATAATATGTAGTTTTTGAGGGCTAGGGACAGAATTAAGTAAAATGCGTAAGGTAGCATTAATATGTTAGAATATTAAACATTATGTTAAGAATAAAATACTAAAGTTAATAATATTATTATTGTTTTGTTACACCTTAAATTACGGTACGATATTTCATCGTACTAGTACGGTACGAAGGTATATTTGAGGTACGGTACGAATTACGATAAATCAATCGTACCGAACTGTTGAGCCACACCTGATGCAGAACTGAAAACCACAGGGGGTCAAGACGCTTACAGTACATAACACTGAACTACAGAGTCTGGGGTCGTTCTTCCCCCGTCACCACATCATACTGCTATCAAGTCTTGATTAATGGTGTCTTATTTGTCGACTTCTCCCAGTTAAGAACATACAAGTTAAAATCATTATCTCTGAATTAGAAGAACAGAGAAATGCAGAGACCCGATAGTTTTTTAGTTGTAGTAAGTATGAAGAATTTTGTGACAAGAGGTACCAGTATGGCCAGCATAATGTGACCGACAATGGTGATGTAGTCGTGGCCAGAATTAGGCTAGGATACAGACACACCTGGCAGGTTAATAACGCTGTACCCATACCGGAACACTCAGCATGTAAACTTTGTGATAAACCTTTAAAGCATACACTTGAACACTATATTATTGAATGTGACACTGTCAAAGACTTCAGGCCACCTGGGTTATTAATCATGAACTATGTAACTACTACACTGAATCAGAAGTCCTACAATATATCCTGACAGTTTACCCTAAATTTGCTAGTTCTCAATGAACAATACAATATATCACTAGTGAATATGACCTATTGTATTATGAACTTCTGCTAACCTACCCTAACCTGACCCAATGATGAACGGAAATAAAGTCACATGACTTTTACACATTGACAACACAATATATATATGATGGCATTGTACGTAGGTTAGGTTAGGTTTTTTCCGTGCCCTTTTTTCTGGATTCGACCCAACTACAGGACTCAGAGACACACACACACACACTTATGTTATTTGTATATTATTTGTAAATCGAAACCCATTCCCCAATTATTTAACTGTATATTTTCAGCCTTCTGGCTGCCAAGCTCTTTCAATAAACCGTTAATTATTATTATTATCATCACACACACGCGCGCGAGAGAGAGAGAGAGAGAGAGAGAGCCGATCATAAGCTTACAGACAAAGACTGTTGTAAGAACCTTTTAAAATGGCCAAGAAGTAATTTCTGGACGTGACCTCACCAGTGTTTGCCACAAGCTCTTAGATAGTATCATCTCACCTCACCCCCCCCCCCACACGCTCTAATTAAGATTCATAAAAATGTCAGATTGTCTCCCTAACATAAGACGTGACGCTCATCTAATAGACCCACTTTAGCTACGATACTTAGACGGATTTTCAGTGATTCGTAATTCTTTTTTTTACCTTTCTAGGACTGTTAAGAGCTTAATTAAGACACGCGTTTACATTATAATAGTAAAATGGATTCTCAGAGGTCGAGTTAAATTTTCAACCGATTTGTGAATGCAGAACACGTGGAGATTAGACACCCAGATTATTTCACCTGATGATTAACCACCCCTAGCGCTAACCTAAATTAACCTAACCCTCCCAGCTCAATTCAACTCAAAGGTTAATCGCTCTAACTTTAATCCAGCTTAACCTAACCTATACGCATTCCTCCAGCACCATCCACCCCTCCTAACAACCCACCAAATCACGCCGTCTCCCTCATCCTTCCACACCTACCCACACTCCCACTCTGAATACAATAGCATAGCATTTTATCTCTTATGGCAAAATAGCCGATATACTAATACCTCATAAACATCTACGTACAGAACTAAACAAACAATATACTGGAAATATTCTGTAGCATTCAACATCCTGATCACTGCCTGGGGACTGATAAGCGCCCTTTGTCACCTCTACTCCGTAATCCTTTGTATACCACCGCTCGCAGGATATGAGGTGCACAATAAACTAGCTGTAGTTCACCCCTATTGTAACCCATATTACCACCCCCACCAGCCCCCCACCCCATCCTACCCCAACCTGTCAAGGACAATATCAGCTTTTGTTCGTTTTTCCTTCTGTTTGTTATCGAGATGAAGGGACAACATCCTGATTAAAACACACACACACACACACATATATTCTGAAATCCAACGTTACAGTGATACAAAGGCGCTGTAATCACAAGATACAGGACGTAAAGGGAGTCCATATTACAAGAGAGAGAGAGAGTTAATGAGTCCCAGGATTTAAGAAAATATTCAGACAGGTTACGAGACAGACAAAGATAGACCGACAGACCCTGACTCCTTACACTCAACCAACTCAATGAGGGATACGGACAAAATCCCCCACCGGACAAAAACTCCAGGACAAAAACGCCACATTGATATTAGATCTTACCATTACTGTCCTCACTTTTTGAGACCTCAGGGGACCCGTTAGGTTAGGTTGCAATAAGTTATATTTTCAAAGTGGTTTTGTAAGAAATTAATAAAAACTCCAAATATATTTTCTTACTTTTTTAACCTGAGGTAAATGTTGATGTTTTTAGTTATTGTTTATTCTTTATCAGGTAAATTGTTTCATAATGTTAGCTATTAAAAACTAAAAATAGATTTTGTTTTATCTTTTACTGTGAGGGGGAATTTGTCCAGTAGAGATGGGGTTTCTGTCCGGTAGAGGTGGAGTTTTTGTCCTCGGGGTTTCTGTCCGGTGGGGTTTTTGTCATGGACCCACTCAATGAAGACTAGTCCCTTCTTCTGAATTTAAAGACACTCTTGCTAACCTTACTTAACCTAACTTAACCTAACCTACTAGTCTAACCTATCCCAGAACTAACTTAACCTAACCTATACTAAAACTAACTTAACCAAACCCTAACCTAACCTAATCTACTAACCTATCCTAAAACTAACTTAACCAAACCTAACACTAACCTAACTTAATGTACTAACCTATCCTAAAACTAACCTAACCAAACCTAACACTAACTTAACCCTAACCTAACCTACTAACCGATCCTAAAACTAATTTAACCAAACCTAACACTAACCTAACCTTAACCTAACCTACTAACCTAACCCTAACCTAACCTACTAACCTAACACTAACCTAACCTAACCTAACCTACTAACCTATCCTAACACTAACCTAACCCTAACCTAACCTCACGGCACGCCATCGTTACCTATTCTTTCTCAGTTAAAGAAACCACATGCAAATGAGATTATATTCTTATCAAGTATTCACCTCTTTACCATAAGGTTAATTTGCATACTGACTTTATTAAGAGATGTGAAATGGGTTTTGGAGTTGTGATCTTTTGTGTATATGAACTCTGGCAGACATACAGACAGACAGACGTATAGACAGACAAGACGTATAGACAGATGTACAGATAGACAGATGTACAGACGCACAGATAGACAAATGTATAGATACAGACAGACATATGTATAGATAGAGAGACGTACAGATACAGATGTATACACAGATGTACAGATAGACGGGAGGAGGGAAAGGAAGAGGGGAGAAAGTGGGGAGAGAAGAGAGCAAGTGACCGTGACCTTGGGTGGAGGGAGGGAGTGATATTGACCTGAGGAGAGAGGGAAGGAGTGACCTTGGGAGACACAGAGAAGGAAAATTCCAGGTTAGTATTTACGGATCATCTGAAGATAAGACACCCCAGATGATGTCGATGTTAAACGATATAACCTAACATGACATAACCTGGCATGACCTAACCTAACATGATATGACCTAACATGACATAAATGGTGTATAAATGGAAGTCAGGGCTAAACAAAGGGGACATTACAAAGGTACTCAAACTATCCAACCAGTAGCGAACTCGTAACAATAGTTTTAAATTAGACAAATTTAGATTTCGTCGTGAAATAGGTAAACACTGGTTTGGAAACAGAGTAGTGGATGAATGGAACAAGTTACCAAATACCATCATTAACTCGAATACGCTGGATAGCTTCAAACATAGGTTGGATGCTTATATGAACAATAGGGGTTGGGTATAAACGGGACTGCCCAGTATGGGCCAATAGGCCCGCTGCAGTTTCCTCCATTCTTATGTTCTTATAACCTAACATGACATGACATAACCTAACCTAACATGACATAACCTAAGCTAAACTAAACTAACTTAACCTAACCTAACATGACATAACCTAACCTATCACGACAAACTAACCAACCACAGCATAACCTAAACAAACTTAACTCAACCTAACCTATCAGAACAAAACCTAACCTAGCATAAACTAACCTAACATACCCTAACTTTTAACGTAACCTAACCTAACATACCCTAACTTTTAACGTAACGTAACCTAACCTAAACAAAGGACCCTCCTGGAAATAAGCATCTGACAGCTTTGTCGGCTATCCTCGGTCAAATTGCCTTACTGTTTACCATTCTAGTATACACCCACGACTACGTGCACCTCGTCTATATTCATGCTGCACTGTATAACTGCATTGTATTATACAGTACTTTACATGTTTATCCAATTGTAAACGTGTATGGCAACTTTAGTTAACACATATTATTATTATTATTATTATTATTATTATTATTATTATTATTATTTTATAACTAACTTAAACTAACCTAGCTCATTCTAACTTAAAACTAACCTAGCTTAACGCTAACCTAAATTCACCTAACTTAACCTACCCCCATGCATAACTAGGATGCGTAATTATAAGGTAAAATAAACTAGCGTGCCTTTAAATAATTACTCTTCAGGTGACCCGTATCATAATATATATTCAAGTACAATTTTTCCTTTTACACAGAGGAGAGCACACGCCTCAATTCCCTCGCCGATACTGCCACCACACGAGTCAGACGCATCCTCTCATCTCCTCATTTCCGGGGACGGGTTTAGTTTGGGGTTCGAAGCAATGAAGTTTCGAACCAGCGTGGGCGGGAAGGCGGAGTTATTGTGTGATGTGTACACCCCCGG